AAGGCAGAAAGAAACCTCGGAGGCTGGGAGGTGGAGGGGGGGGCGGGCAGAGCATCCCTGCCGCGGAGCATCGGCCGCCCCAGAGCTGTTTTGGGTGGTGCGGGGAGGCTGCCCGGGGGGTGCCGGCTTTCCGGGTGAGGCATCCCGAGGCGCTGGTGGTCGGAAAGGCTGCGGAGCTGATCCGTGAGGACTTCGGAGGGAGGGGGTGCCTCCTTCTAATAGGGGCGAAAGGCCTGTAGCACCTCTTCTGTGAAGAAAGGCCGAGAGAGTTGGGGTTGTTCGGCCTGGAGAAGAGAAGGCTCCGGGGAGACCTTATTGCAGCCTTTAAATACTTAAAGGGGGCTTATAAAGATGGAGAGAGACTTGTTACCAGGGCCTGTAGTGATAGAGCAGGGGCTAAGCATTTAAACTAGAAGGCGGTAGGTTTAGATTTCTGTAATAATAAGGAAGACACTCTTCACAATCTCCAGCGGCGAGCTGCTGAAACAGGTTGCCCAGAGAAGTTGTGGATGCCCCATCCCTGGAAGTGTTCAAAGCTGGGTTGGACAGAGCTTTGGGTGACCCGGTCTAGTGAAAGATGTCCCTGCCCAGGGCAGGGGGGTTGGACTAGATGATCTTTGAAGGTCCCTTCCAACCCAAACCATTCTGTGATTCTATAACCAGATTCCCCCACCCAATGTTGTTCCGGAGAGGGGAGAAAGGGTTGCACCAGCAGATGTGGGCTCTGTGCTAACTGCTGCCCCCATGGCACAACTGAAAGTGTGGGGATGAGACCCTACCTCTGATGGCCAAGGACACAAATCAGTAGCCTGCTGTCTGTGGGACTTAGCAGAGCCCTGGATCTCAGTCTTACACATTGCTGCTGTGAATCGCCCTGCAGAAGAGGCTTCTCCCTTCCCTGCAGGCTCTTGTTTTGTATTGAGCTCTGCTTTCCTACTAACATTACCTGGCCTCAAGGTGCCCTGATGCCAGAGCCTTTAAATGGGAAACTCAAGCTGTTGACAGCTTCAAAAGGGAGCCCTGTTTAAGCTGCTTATTTCTGTGGGCAGTGTCTGAGCAAGGGGAATACCAGTGGCATAGAACAGTAAGTACCCTATTCGAGCTTTGCTTAGAGTAACACAATCTTCTTCTGGGCCTGCAAAGTCAGCTTTTAGAGAGTAAGTTCCAGAAGCAGAATGGAAAAGCAGCTGGATTTTTTCTCTTTTTTCTTTTTGTTTTTCTTTTTCTTTCTTTCTCTTTTTTTTTTTATTGCTTTCCATGTTATGGCAGTCCTTTTCTAGGTGTAGCAGCTCAATACAAAGCCGATGAAATCTTGCAGTGGTATAGCATACTAAAAATCAAGCCAGCTTTTACCTTCTGTGCAAAGAAAACACACAAACAAATGAATAAAGACAGGGATGCTTCCAAGGGGGTCTGAAGCTACTACTACAGAACAAAACCGGAGAACCTGTTCCAGATTTAGCAGCACTTGGACCATCATTACGATTAATAAGCAGATAAGAGGGAAATGCAAAGCACTCAATGAATCCCTGACCTTCCCCCTATCTTCTTCCAACCCAACACTCATTTGGGTTCCTTCTCATCTCTAAACACTCAGATCAAATCAAGCAGTCGGGCGTCTCCAGGATGCTTTTGATTCCCTGATGCACATACCTGTCCTACCTGGGGACAACCAGTTGGTATCAGAGAGCAGGTAGGTGGGCTGGCGCTGCCCTTTGCTGCAGCACCGATAGCTTTGGGAGCTGCCCACTCCTGCTGTACCACACACCATCCTACCTCCTAACGGGGACCTTGCCAAACCCATACACCTGCAGCCAGTACTTGAAATCAGACAGAAAGCCCTGATCAGTCCTTTTTCCCTAAACACTTTCTCCAAGTAGAGGTGGAATTGGCTTTCTGGGAATCTTGTCCGCTCCAGCATCCCTGAGAGGAACTGCAATCATGCGCACGGCTCTGCAGGTGAAAGTCCAGATGTTATATGCATCTGCCTTGTACCACAAGCCCTGGAAAGATCAGCTTGGCCTAAAGCGTTCCTGGCCAGAGTGTTTTTAATCTGTTATTCAAATCCTCTGATCTCCCAAGCGATCTGCCTCGAAGAAATTACCTTCTCCACCAGAGGTGTTTTGTAATTTTAATGTTGGCCCACAATGGACAGGGAAAACACTTCCTCTCTCTTTGCAGGCACTTCTTAGGTTATCTGAAGACAATTTCAATCCTAGTCTTTTCTTCTCTGAATTATATTGATTTTTATCTCTGACCTCTGATTCTTCTTACCCCCTGCTTTCTTCGGTTGATCTGGAGTTCCTTGAACTGACCCCTAAGGCCTTGCTGAGTGAGTAATGGGAGATTACCTTGGGTATTTGCAGACAACACTCTTGTTCATATATCTGAATATGAGATCAGCTATTTGCAAGAGTCTTCTCGTAATAACAACATAACATAACATAACATTGTTCACTCATGGGCAGCCTGTGACACATGATGTGCCCCAGACCCTTTTTAGTACATCAGTGGCATGCCAGCATGTTCCCTACCTTGTACTTGCAGTTTCTTTCTACAGTCATTCCTAGCTGTCCGTACTAAATTGCTTTTTCCAGATTGTTTTTCCAGTTTGTCAAGAACACTTGAATTCTAATCATGCTGTCGATGTTTGTGCAGCCCCTCCCAGGTTGCTGCAATCTCCAAAGGCCTGTCTTGTTCCTGCATGCTTGAGCTGTTCCTAATAAGCTTTATTCCATGCTACTGAATGTTTTATTCAATGCTACTGAACCCCACTGGAGCAGGCATGTACTTCAAAGGGGGGGGTGGGGGGTGCTTTATAAATTAGCACAGAGAACATCAAGGGCTCATTGGTATAAAGTTTGGCATGTCAAGGGTTGGTTCACTAAGAATGAGCATGGCTTTAGTCCCACTGGGGAGTTTCCCTTTTGTTCATTTTTTCTTGGTTGGGGTTTTGTTTTGTTTTTGGTTCGAGTTACACTTGTGAGGCAATGTTGTATGAATGTAGAGGAGTTTATTAAGCTTGTATGGGATGGAGGACAGTGAGTCAGTATAGGTGCTTATATTTGTGTGTGGCTTCCATAG